GAACAATACGAGCTACAATAGCAAAGTGATCGTAACAACAGGTTTTGGTCAAGTAAAAATAATTGAACAAAAACCTTCTGGGAACAATTTTATATCTCGGTGAACTGTGCCTACAAAGCAGCCACCCATTATTTCCTTTTTCTCTTATTTGCTTCTATCAGGGCCTTTTATCCCACTAATGGTTGTAGGCGGAGTTCTCTGGACAATTGTCTCGAGATTGATTTGAAATTCGAAAAGACAATGAAAGACGATTCTCTATATGACGATAATATTAAGGCCGCAGCGACCACAGAATACACCGATAAAGCGTACATTATGCGACTTAACACAGGTCTAATAACAATCGATGAATTATAAAAGTTTTTCATTACTATTAAACCCATTAAACACGGACAACAAAGTTAGTACAGACGGACACGTGTCGGGCACCCCTCCGCAAATTGTTATTCTTGTCTACTCTCACCCCTTGTTCAAATAATCCTCCGATATGATGGACAATTGTGAGAATTCGGTAAGCGATGTAAAAGCAATTTGTTGGATATAAAATTTTTGTGAATTGACAATATTGTAATAGTAGAGTTCCTTGTCAAAGGGTTCGTCCTGGGAAGCACTGTCACCATACCTATTTCTTCCACCAAAATGAGCGTTACTGCGTTGGTGTTTTTGAATGGTACTGGTGCAGGCGAATTTACAGGCACACGGGGCTTATCAGCTTTACGTTTCAGGGTGTCGAGACACACTGGCAATGCTCCTCTGTTCTTTGCAAATAAGATCTATGGATTGGAGAGTCGCTGACTCACGACTTGCTTGAATTCGAACGGTTCGTATCCTTGTGGATGCATGAGTACGTATGACTTTAGTGTTTAAAGTACATAATTCGTCAGCATGTAGTAGCTATGCTCCTCCAAGGAAAACATCATAATGAAACCTACATCGAAGACGGTACCATTGGAAAAGCGTAAAGTAGCCAACCCGAATTAGATTAGCGTAAGAGGCCAATACCTAGCGACGGCACGTTAATAATAAAGACAGATTAAGTTTTGACATGAACAACATTTTTGGATATATTGTCAGTTACGCCGTTTCATTTTGAAACAGGGTCCATCACCATGCCCAGAGGAGTAATGATTTTGTCAAAGATGCTGTAAATAACTAAAGCATTGGAAAAACTAGAATAGATTTCCTGTTTTGCATTGTATACAAAACAAATATAACTATTATAATAAATTATTATAATAACCTGGTGTGGTGAAGTGACAAATGAACATTACTATTACCACATCTTTTCCTTCTTAAAAATCTGAAAGGAACGGATGCTAAATAAAGGATACTCCAGTTAAACAAACGACTTCGCATGCACATGACATCAGCGGAATCTAGGCCTCCGCCTACTTCCATTAGCCAGTTCACCGACTCCGCCTAGACATGGATTTCAAGTCAAATAAACGTAGATACAAATCGTTGGACATAGTGGACAAAAGGTATCTAATATCTAAGATCATGCTGATGCCGAATGCGTAGCGAATGAATAGAACGGTGTTATTGATCTGATAATGCAGCTTATGAGACGTATCATTGAGAACTATAAACCACACGAACTACACACTCAACTTCCAACGTAGGATGATCTGGTAAACATACAGTACAATAATAATAATGATGATAAAATTAAACCTTTAATACATGTACGAAGAAGAAGCCAAGTTACAAAACAACCCATCTGAATAGCTGATACACTGGAATATGGTCAATATGATTAAGTTTTAGGTTTTCGTGATTACTACACGCTGGAAATAATACGATTTTTTCAGATCTAAATCTTGTATGACAAACAACTGTTTCACGTTCTTTACAGGTCACTCACGACTGACTGTCACACGTGATACGCGACTTAGGGCCGAAAAAATAGTTCCATTTCCAATGATAAGATTAATCCTATTAACAAATTCTCAACCAGCACAAAGTTCCGGAAAGCAATTGTTCTAATGAACACTGAACATCCTACAAAATGGCGATAAAGCAAATATGTATGGAATATGTTGAAAGCAATTTTCTAAGACAGGGGACTTCGCGCCTTCCCGGATAGGGCACAACCGTAAAGGGCTAACGATTTTAATGAGCACCACAAATGAGGAGAACAAAGGCTTCCGCGGGTTCCGGAATCACAACACCACTATCAAGGACAAACATGGAATACAGGAAGACGTACATTGAACTACTTTTATAGATATGTTTGCGTTTGTGAATGTAAATTTTAAGCTTCGAAGTTATTCGAACTTTAACGATCCTGGTGATTCCGTTTTGAAGGGTAGGTGCTGGTAAAATTACAGGCACATGGAACTTGTCAACTCATGTCACTGAAGAGCGCAGTGGCAGTGCCCCTCACATCTTTGCGATTTAAAGCTCTGAGTGACACTGCAACTGTTATGGATAGGCGTGTAACTTACCATCAGGCGCACGACTTGTTCGTACCATCACTTAATATAATTTTTTTTTTTAATTTACTTCTTCCGGTTGGTGCAATGAGAATATCAGTGTCAATGATCTGAGCCAGAATGATCTGAAACTGCACCGCAACGATCAGAAACGCTTTAAAGATGTACAACTAGAGCAAAATACGACTCATATAAAATTTTGACTGTGAAGTCAAAGTTCAAGAACACATTCTCGTCTGAAAAATATTCCATTTTATATCACACTTAAAGCCCAATGTTCAAGACGTAAAGTCAATTTCTATACCTTATTCTATTTCTAAAGTACTATTCGATTGTTTACGTCGCAAATGGTAGCAGCCAGGTCTAGTGTGGACCGCACTCCATAATACCTGACATATAAGGAGATCTGATAAAGGCTCAAAATACTTTACTGCCATAGTGTGTAAAGTAGCTTTAGAAGCTGGCAAGACCACATTTTAGAAAACCTTTGCCAATTTAAAGGTACTATTGACAGACCAAAGAGAAATAGCGATCTATTTGTAAATAGGTATTGAAGTAATATAAGACTTGGCGCCTTCGCTGAACATTATAATAATAAAGATGCAAATGCAAAAACAGATTATAAAAAGGTACGTACTTAGTCTGAAATACATTTCTCATTCAAACTTGCCAACGCAAAAGCAAGATCGACATTACGATCTGCACTTGAATGGAACGCCGTCACAATACTGCAACTAACGATGTTTACGCCACTCAGAAACCTGCTTATCATCACAGTATAGCAATCTGTAATAAAGGACAAGTGTAAAAAGAACTCAAGTTTGCATATAGGGATTCCAAAACCAAAGGTCATCTGAAACTTGTCGAGAGAGAGAACAAATTAACCGCCTCGCAAATCAATGGACACAAGTGAACTGCATTAGCGACAATGCTTCGTAAATGCGCATTCGTTTATATTATTTTTTTTAATGCAATTAGGGTTGTGCTCGGGCAACGTTCGGTCGAGCGTACATCTGTTCGGACGTCTCCCTAATAAAAAATTGTATAACAAACCACACAAGTTCTGTCTGTACCTTAGTTATAAAACGCATGGTTGTGTCATAGGAAAGTAATATTGCCGGTTGAATTTTTGTCGTGCGTTGTATACTATTAAATATATACACACATGGGGGGCGATATGGCCTTATGATCACAAAATGGAGTATCTGTGGGGCGGCGTAACGGTTTTCAAAGCATGTGGAAGATACTTAAATATATCAGCGGGGTGATTGTAATCGATAGCAATTTTTATTATAAACCGTTAACTAGTTTGTATTAAGTTCGATTTAGGCACTTCTTTTGAGTTCAGTATTGGATGTAGTTTTTTATTCTTTTGCGAGTGTTTGTTTAACGTTAAAAATGGTTTTTTTTATTGTAATATAGTGTTCGAAAGTTGTTGAATTGAATAATAACTTTACTTCAATAATGCACACACAATTATAAAAAGCACAAAATATAATAAAATTATATTAAATGCAAATCATAAAACAAAATAAAAATCAATATTTGAAACCGTCAACCGTGACCATGGGATCTGTAAAGGGCCCGAAACGTCGGTTTGTTTGAAAAAACAAATATACGCGATTTAAATCCGGAAAAATAGTTTCATTTCCAATATTTGAAATTTAACACTCTAAATTCATAAATAATAAATTCAGAATTGAAAGTAAAATTGCAACTCAATCATAACACAAACGACACAAGATATGTATGAAACGTAGAACATACGTTGTTTTCCTGCAAGTTCACGCTATTTTTTATCGTTTGAAAATCTTCTTGATTCATCTTTTTTAAAAAGACAAGATCTAATCTCATAAAGCTTTAAAAGGAACCGGTTTCCTAAACTTAATCATCTATTTGTCTAGCGGCGTCTTTTACCATCCACAATACGTTTAAGATAAACGACATCAAGATGCTCTACAGACCAGATGTTCTCCAAATTGATATGCTAAATTGTTACCACTATGTTACTGGACGTCATTGATAAATTAGATTGCTCAGATGATAATTGATCTACACTCACTTTTGGCTAAAAATATTCGAGAAAAAAGTTGAAAAGTGAAGACCACACGATATGAGACGAGTAAGTTGATTTTACTTGACATAATCTAACTGCAACATGTAGGTAATAAACAAATTAAAGCATGATAGCAAATCATTTTTAATAACTGCCTCTATGGCCGAACGGTTACCATGCCGGACTGCCACGCAGAGGTCCCAGGTTCGATTCCCGGGCCGGGAGAAATATTTGTATGGCCTACATTTATTTCTCTCTTGAGTTTGGGTGTAATTTGTGGTTGTCTGTGTGTGTGTCCATGGCACCCGCAACACAGGGTTTCCCTAGTGCGGGGCTATGTTGAGTGTGTGCGTTATTATTATTATTATTATTATCATAATGCCTCCTAACGTTTTACCTTTATCTATGTACTATACAATGCAGATATTCAAGTCGTAGTTCACACTACCTAATTTTAAGATTTCTAACTAAGGGATAAGTGTTCAGAGTATTTAATAACTATTACTTACTTGCAAAAGTACTCTCCCCTCGACGTGGATAAACAAGTTCCGCCATTTTTGCACGGCGACGGAGAACATGAGACGAAACCTGAAAAAGAAACATAAAATTAGTATGCGTATGAGCAAATTCGAGGCAACACAAATTGATGATGAGCATTAAGGTGCATTAACTGACAAATGAAACTAGGCTTGTTAAAGAGAAGGAATTACTTAAATGTGATGATACCTTTTAAAAAATATCATGGCAAAGCTCTGATGGCGGTCTGATATTTAAAGATTTACGCATAGTTATTCTGAAGTAAGAGATAGTTAATTGTTCTCATGACGCAGTATAAATTCCAACATAAATAAAACACATATGTTATTTTTACTTTATTTGCTACTTAGTAATATTAAGGACCCAAAAGCGGACCTTGTGGTACACCCGTATTTAGATCAAAAGTAAAATAATATTATTGATGTTTAGGCACGCAAAAAGGATGTTTATTGAAAGTAAAAACAAACAAAAAATTACAAACATGCAAAACATAATTAAAAAGATCATTAACTGTCACCGTATAGGGGTATCGAGGTCAGTTGCTAATCGTAGGTAAACACGACTAAAGCTATTCGGATGTGACAACATTTCGCATAAATTATTCAACTTGAAAATTTTTGAACCAACAAAAATTTGCCTGCTAATTTAATTTAAATCATGATACCTAATATGAAAATAGAAAAACATATCAAAACAAAATATAAGCGAAATGTCAAGATTAAAACGACCGATGTCGAAATAACAGAAGTTGGTTCGTATGTTTAAATGTAAAGACCTTAAAGTATGATAAATATACAACGATTTATGTGGCCAGTGTATCAAGAAACAAAGTCAGTATTTATGTTACCAACGGGAAATACATTCAAGGTTTCTGAGATTGATGGATGTCAAGTATTCGGCAGCCCGCTACTGCTGACTGGTTGTTTGCAAACGGAAGTTTTTGTGTGATTATAATCAGTGATATTATTTCACTCGGCAGGTACTTGGCTTAAACAGGATGATATAAAAGACAGTCCATTAGGGATGAAGAATTTGATCAATGTACAGTACAGTTATAGTTTTGATTACAGTTACGAACGGAAATCAAGAGTATTATTTGCACTGAAAGTCCAAAAGACGTAAAGAAATTCGTTAGGTCCGCTGGTTCGTTCCGTGGCTTAGTTGGTATAACATCTGACACGAAGGGATGTTTTACGAGTGTTCGAACTTTGTATTAACAATTATGACGAAAAAAAAAAAGAAAAATATATTAAAACTGGGTAACTCCGTACAGATCGTAGTATACAACTTTAAAGCATCCAGTGCTATAAGTTGAAAATTAACTAACATTATAACTAAAATTTCAAACATTTTTACCATTGTTGCAAAGAAATAGCATATTGAAATTAGAAACAAAGGAACAGTCATTCGTCAGTCAACAAATTATGGGATTATTAGGAGACAAGAGACATAATTATCACATACGCCAACATTAAAATTACGGCACGACACGTCGTCGATGGATCAATCACAATACAGACCACCCAAACATCGATTTAAAATCGGATAAAGGACGGAAACATTCAGGCAACATTGAAGATAAAAGAAGAAATACGACACTTGAAATCGACGTGTACACAAAAAGTTCGTTTTGCAAATTCGATATCATTATATACATATTTATGGGAATTCTTAACGGATAATTTCACACATCTCTCGAAGTTTGCTCAGCACTTCTAATGTAAACACGTTTGTTGAAAATTTGGTAACTCTAGTAATCACAGAATTACTATCTACTTGATAACTCTGTAGGTAAATAGGTAAATATTATAGATTTTATTTGAATCACACATGCGTGGGAATATGAAATTTTGACAGTTGTAAACATGGAAGATATTACATTTATTTATCAACGATTTAAAACTGTTGACTTTGCAGTTAAGAACTGGCAGTTTCTCTGAATTTATACACAGAGAAAGGTAAACAAGGATAAACTGAGATATAGAGTTCCAGTTTAAACGATATCAACTTCATCGACAATAAATTGGAACCCTGATCGAAACATAAATGCGCATTGCAAAATGAATGATGGTCATAAAAGTGTTATTATTCAATAAACAATATCAAAATTACGTTCCAGTATTAATTCGCAATGGTCGATAAATCTTACAAGAAGAAATTCAAGGAAATATGCGATATCTTTGCAATGACTTTAATATTCGCCTAACGAAAGCAGTAAAGAACGTTGAGTTTTTCGCGATTCCACCAATATCTCTGGAAGGCGTATAAAAACCGGATGGTGCAACAAGGCCTTATAAGGTCACCCCTTTGTTTTTACTGCTCGTGAACGCTGCGTTAAGGACAGTGGCAAACCAGACAACTTATTAACTCAGACCAAAGGTGCTTGTAAGTGACTTAAACTGTCAATTGTAGAAAGACTGACAATTGTACCAAATAACGCTTTTTTTACTAATGGTAAGCAAAGGATATCGGAAACTCTATCAGTCAGAAACAAACTAATATTTCCCATAAATGCCAACCAATATCAAAGCGCATTATTAGTTTAAACAACAAATACATACAGTTCCTTATTTAGGTATAAACAAGTTCATTAATAATAAACTTCAACGTTTTTATACAAGAAATGTACTCTCCCAAAACTACGACAGTACATAATTAATGGTATCGATATACTTGTGTTATTTTCTACCGTTTCTTTCTACTCAATTATTAATCTTCTGCTTCGTATTAGCTAAAATAACTACCAACCGATCGACTCCTATAAACTTGTAGATCGATGTGTACAGGTTTTTGAAACCCGTGCCTTACCCGTGTCGTACACTTATTGATATCAAAGCACAAAAAGTGGCCATAGTGCGGACATTTATCATATCGAGAGATGCTCGAATAACGCGACGTATAATCTCGAATAATCGATTCGAATAATTCAAATAATGTAATGAATAATCGTATTTTGATAGGTAAGGAAGATTATCGTTATTCATAATAAATTTGGAGGTACACAATGTAGTGTTCATATATTTTTTAACGTGGAACGATAAGGTTTTTACGGTTTTTAATGTTTCTTCGAAAGTATTTCAGTGAACTATGTGGGTTGATTTGTTGTCCACTCTAAATATGGTGCAACTGATTAACTGCCTTTGTACTTCGATTACGTGTGGAGACACAAAAAGAAACTCAAAATTTTATCAATTTCAAAACGTACAATAAAAAATGTCATCTCTAAATTCACAATTTATGAATATTCAATTGATAAAGCTATCAGTATCAAACGGTTGGTTGCGGAAATGCCGATAGTGGTATCATACCGTGGGAATTTATTCTATAGTTGTTGATAACACGCATTGACATGAGTTACAGATTCTCGTACCAATAAAAGCGCTTAGGCAAGTCAAAGGGCCTATAACTATTGAAAATATTTGATAAATTAAAATAGGTATTTAAGAATATTTTAATCAGGAACTGCAATGTTAATCGTCGTCTACGTAATGTTATATTCATTCAGAAAAGACTGAACCAGGGAGACTGCTGGCTCTGAGACATGTGGAGATAATGGGAATCGTGCTACGACGCCAACTGATAAGACGTTCTGGGTACCACTGGAACAAGTCTAGAAAGACCTAAGAGATTTAGGTACTTCTTTTTCATCTTCTTATCGGACCGAAGGCACAAACATGCAGCCCAGAGTAATAGGACATGTTTGCCATCACGGTGAAACGATTTGACAATTTGCGTAAGGTTCTTGCTAATTGTGCCCAGGGTGCCTTGAGTTAAGGGAATGTTAATACATCTTACGGGAAGGCTCCTTTCGTGCAACCCGCCTTGGTACTAGTAGTTGTGACGTGGCGGAATCTAGTATCGGAGACCAGAGGGTTTAGACCAGACGCTCTATCGCGCGTGATACAAAGGTGTTGGAAAGGGAAAGACCGCACGACTGAGCTCACCAGTCGTGCACTCCAACACGCGCCAGTTTCACTCGGTCTATCCTGCGCAATTAGCTTTTACACTGACGCTCCTTCCTAACAAAAAGGAACAAGAGCAACCTCGTGCGAAAGCACATTAGTTTAAAAACTTCATACAGGTACCTATTCGCTCACGATAGCGCGTGCAGGTTTTCCCGCGCGCGATAGTATGACTGTGTAAAGGAGGCTATTGGTTCACTACGTTAGGGGTATTCGTTCAGAACAAGATCTGTCCCTAAGCTCGAATTCATACTTATCAATGACAAGAGGATCACACTTCATTATTTTACTTTTGTTTTTTTTTTTGTAATAATAATTTATTTCTTTAAAAAGGTACAACATTTAATCTAGGTACAGTGTAGATGAGCCTCACCTGGGAATCTTTAAATTTGGTTTCAGAAAATTCAACAACCATTTACCGAAACTTAACTTTTTCAGTGACGCAATTGGTTTCAATGTGCAATATGTACTTTTAGAAACGTTAAATTTTGTACCAATCTATGATTATTGAAAAATAATTATAAATTTTCAAATGTCTATCTACCCTTCGCCATGCGCTATCGTAGGAGAAAAATAGCTTCTTCAGAGAACAGTCGTATCGATTTTTTTTTGTCGTTGCCGCATAGTAACATCCTTATTGCCGTATATTTCGTGGACATTCGTAAAAAATGGATAATATTTGCATATGATAAAATAACGAAAGAATTAAAAACTATATGTAATCTGGTGACAGTTCTAAACTGTCTTGTGAGTATTTAAATATATTAATATGTATGGATTCCAAATTATTTATAGTGTTGTGACAACTTTAAAGGTTTTTTTTTATCTTTATGATACATAGCATTTGAAAATTCACGAAAGTGTAATGTTTATAAAAACTATTTCAATTATTTATTAATAAAAAGCTAAAAAAATATTATGCAAAAGATTTCTCTTTCATTACACCAATAAAAATTCCATAAAAATTGTCTGTCAAAAACAAGTGATGTCGGCATGAAATTTTTAATGTACAGTAATTATTTTATTTCACTATTCTGATTCAAAGAAGCTTTTAAGTGGGCTCCGATAGATTACGAGGCGCGGTCACGC